GAACTGAGGTTGGAGCCAATAAAGGCCCTTGGAAAAAATCAGCCTGGTACCTTACTTACAGGGTTCCCAGCAACCTTACCAGGTGAGCAAGGAAGGTCACTTCCTGGCAGGCTCAGGAACCTCAGGATATTTTGGGGACCTTGAGAAGAGAGGAGGAATTCACCCAAATCTACGGGTATTGTAGGTCAAGTCTGATGGCAAGGATTTGGCTTGGCTTCTGGCCTTGATAGGCTATTAAAAGTTCAGTCAGGAACTTCCTTATGAAAAGTTCCAGCAAAGCAGGTTTTAAAGAGTCGACATGGTCAACCCCTATTCTTGCCGCACTTATGTAAATAATTAGACCAAATTTTGTGAAAACTGGACTTATTTTACAAACAAATTTATCTTAATTTAGCTATCCTTGATGGAAATTAGGGGGATTTTAGAGAAAAACATTGTTTCACTAACACATTTTTGTTAGCTTCTTGTTCTGATGGTCTTTGAGTGTGTGCTGTTTTCTGATGAAACTGGGCTGGATCCTGAGTTCTTCTGGTTTCCTTGAGTATGTGACCGTGACTCTCCAAACAAAGGTTTTCCGTTTTGTCCCATTTTTTTCTCACTTGGCAGTCTTTGGGAACTGAAGCTGCCCTTTCCCCCTGAAGGCCTACAGACTGAAGCTAGACAACTTGAGGTAAACTTCAGAGAAATTACCACAACAGCCCATGTTGAGAGAAGATCAGGAGATACTCAAAGGGCAGAGCAGGAACACCCGTGGGACGGCCCCTGCCTGCCCCCACCGCATCGAGGTGCCTTGGGCCTGGCTTCCAGAAACCTCGGTGGCAGCATGGGGCTGATCATTTGCTCCAACCATTAACCTGTGTTTTTCTTTTGTTGCCATAGAAATGCCTCTTATTAAGTAGCTGATTGCTAACACAGTCCAGGCCTGACTTTGGGAGCCCACCTTTAGGAGCACCCCTGGAAAAGAGGCAACCGTTTAACTGAACAAAACTCGGGCTGGTTCATAAAGTATGGAGTGGACTTTCTATCTGAGGTCCAGAATATAGTGTTTCAACTCCAGCCATGAGGGAACAATGCTGATCTGGGATGTGTTTCTAAGAACAAAAATCATGATCGGAAGGGGGAATTATGGGATTGCCTGAAACCTGTGGACATGAGGGACTCCATTTTTCATTCCAACTAACGAACTCCTAAACTGGAGTTCAGCAGCCACTGATGACAAAAGGTTGAGTTGCGGGCATTCGGGTCAGAGAACGACAGTAAAGTTAATGAATACATAGCAGGGGCAGTTCCGTTTGATGGGGCCTCGAATCACTAAGATGGTCATCACGAGCAGTTCAACTGATCAGCCCCAATGGGGGAGGGTTTTTCCCCCTCTCTCTTTTATGTAATCCTGTAATTCCCCCTTCCTTCCTTCTCATAAAAAGCCCTTGCTATCCCTGCGCGAGTGGGACACTTTTCTGGTTATTCTGGACTCTGTGCTCCCCCGAATTGCAATTCTGAGACCCCGAGTCAAGACCCTTGTTCCTTTTCAGTTTTGCCTCCTTTTCTCAGTGGACAAACTCTGACAGCCTCCAACTCTCCAGCCCCTCAGCAGTTTCCGCAAGTCAGGGAGACTTCTGGAAAGGTGTCTCTTCCCCATTCTGCGCCCTGGAAACTCTCCAAACAGTCAGCTGGGGCAATCATTCTGCTCACCTCACTGGTTCACTTGTCTCTTAGAGATCACTGTTTTTTATTGTCTGGTTTGTTCTGAGCACCGTTCTTTCAGCTATTTGGTCCCCCCTGCACCCTTTTATATTTGGTTGTTTCAAACAGGAGGGTAAATCTGGTCCCTCCTCTCCTGCATCTTAGCCAGCCGTGGAAACACATGGGTCATTTTCGATGCTTTTGTTTCCTACTTATTTTTGGTTTTAATTTACATTTCTCTCATCTAATGCTGATGTGGGGCACTTTTTCATGTGCTCATTGGTCAGTGGTTCATCTTTTTTGATGAAATGTCTGTTTAAAACTTGTGCCTTTTTTTTTTAATTGGGTTGCTTATTTTTTTGTTCTTGAGTTGTAGGAATTCTTGTGTTGTATATCGTGAGCATGAGTTTTTCATCAGATGTGTGTTTTGCACATATTTTCTTCCTGTCTATAGCTTACCTATTCATTTTTCTTAACATCTTTTGTTAAGCAGAAGTTTAAAAAGTTTTTGGTGAAGCCTAATTTATTAGTGTCTCTTTTATGGTAATGCTTTCTGTGTCATTTTTAAGAAATCTTTGTGTACCTCCAAATCATGAAGTTATTCTTTATTACTTCTTCCAAAAACTTTATAGTTGCATGTTTATCTCAGATTAATTTTTGTATATGGTGTGAGCTAGGGATAAAGATTAATTTTTTTCCCCATATGAACATCCAGCTATTCTAGCACCATTTGCTGAAAAACAACAAAGGACTCCTAGTCTTTGTTTTGTTTTTATTATTCCACTTTTGAAATATTTTAATTTTTTATTATTAATTTTTTAATAATTCTAGCATAGGTAGCATACCTTAGTTTCAGAAGTACGATGTGGTGATTCAGCAATTCTATACACTACTCAGTGCTCTCCATGATAAGTGTGCTCTTAATCCCCTTCCCCTGGGACCCCCATCCCCCACCCACCACCCCTCTGGTGACCATCAGTTTGTTCTCTAGAGTTAGGAGTCTGTTTTTTGGTTTGTCTTTTTTTTTTTTCTTTGTTTGTTTTGTTTCTTAAATTCCACATATGAGTGAAATCATACGGTATTTGTCTTTCTTTGCCTGATTTATTTTGCTTGGTGTAATACCCTCTAGCTCCATCCACGTCATTGAAAATGGCAAGATTTCATTCTTTTCTATGGCTGAATAATATTGCATTGTGTAGGTATATACCACATCTTCTTTATCCATTCATCAGTCAATAGGCGCTTCCATAATTTGGCTATCGTAAATATGCTGCTATAAACAGTTGGGTGCATGTATGCCTTTGGATTAGTGTTTTTGTGTTCTTTGGGTAAATACCCAGTAGTGCGATTACTGGATCATAGGGTAGTTCTGTTTTTAACTTTGTGAGGAACCTCCATACAGTTTGCATTCCCACCAACTGCACGAGGGTTCCTTTTTCTCCACATCCTCTCCAACACTTGTTGTTTCTTGAGTTCTTGATTTTAGCCATTGCTGACGGGTGTGAGGTGATATCTTGTTGTGGTTTATGATTTCAAATGGGTTCTATTCTATCCCAATCTAATTTTTCAATCCTTTGCTAGTATCACACTGTCTTCACTCTCTAGTTTTATAATAAGTTTTGAAGTCAGGTAGTATAAGTCTTCCAACTTTATTCTTTTTCAAGATTGCTTTGGCTATTTAGGTCCTTTGTATTTCTGTGAGTCTTAGAGTAAACTTGTCAATTTCTACAAAAAAAATCTTAGTGAGATTATGATTGGAAATGCACTGAATCTATTGAATCAAGAGATCAATTTGGGGAGAATTGACATGTTAACAACAGAGTCTTCTGATCCTTGATACTTTAGGGTTGCTATTTTTTTAGGGTTTTAATTGATATATAATGGAATTTTGATGGAATATCCTGGGTTTGATACTCTTCTAGGCTTTTATCCCTTTCATCTACATATTTATGTTTATTGGCACAAAGATTTTTATACTATTATTTTATCTTTTTAATGTCTGCAACACCTACAGTATAATCTCTTCTCCCTGATAATGGTGACTTGTGTCTTTTCCCTATTTTGTCCTTGACCAGTGAAATTACTAGAGACTTTTTGATTTTGTTTTGATCTTTTCAAAGAACTAACTTTTAAGTAGATTATTTTGAATAGATCTCTGTTGTATATTTTCTAGCTTATAAAATTCCACTCTATATTATTTCCTTTTTCTTTATTTTGCAGTTCTTTTTCTAAGTACTTTGACTCAATATTTAGCTCATTAAATTTCAGACTTTCTTTTTTCTAATGTCAGTGTTTCCCTCTACATCCTGCTTCAGATGAATCCCTCAAGTTTGATATGTATGTTTTTATTAGTATTTAGTTCTAAATAATTTCTGATCTATTATGATTTATTTTTGACCAATATATTACATTAAAATGTCTCTTACTTTCCAACCATGAATTTTACTAGTTGTTTTGTTTTTGATTCTGAGCTTAGTTGCATTATGATATATGCAATCTTGTATCTCTATATGATATTATTCCTTGGAAATTTGTGGAGATGAAGCCTGTGTATGATCAGTTATTATAACTCTTACATGTGTGCAGGAAAATCATTCTGCAGTTGTTGAGTGGTGTGTTGTATATACCTTTATCTATCTCTCGATGCCCTTTTGTTGTTGTTGTTGTTATTTCAAACAGGAGGGTAACTTTGGTCCCTGTTACTCCACCTTGACCAGAAGTAGAAACACATGAAGTCATTCTTAATGCTTTTGTTTCCTATTCATTTTTGGTTTTAATTTACATTTCTTTGATGCCTAATGATAACGTTGGGCACTTTTTCATGCACCCATTGCCCATTTGTGTGCCTGTGTGTGCGCGCCGTGTAGAATCTTCATTAGGTCAGGTGTGGTAGTTGTGATATTCAAACCGTCTTCATCATTACTCATTTTTTTTCTCTTGACACGTTCCAACATTTATTCGTACCTTTGGGGGCTATTAATTCTCTGACAATGGCTCATTCTGGAAGCGGGACACAACTCAATACAACATTCTCTCTAAGGCCACTTACGGCTCCGGGGAAGGTACTGCCCTCTCTCGGGGGCCGAGTGGGGCCGAGTTAGGGCCGAGGACAGGGGACGGGGGCGACGGCGCGGGGGACGAGGGCGCGCGGGGAGGCGAGCGCGCGCGGGGGGCGAAGGCGCGCGGGGAGCGAGCGCGCGGAGGGGGGGGGGTGAGGGGGCGGGGGGGGGGGGGGGGCGGGGGGGGCGCCGGCGCGCGGGTTGGCGGGGGACCCACAGAGTAGCGCGCCCTCCTCCGCGCGCGGCGCTAGAGCCCAGCCAGGGATGGCCGGCCTTGGCGAGGGGGTGGCAGGCGAGGTCACAGATATCTCCAAGTCGGCTACGGTGTGTGACGCGGCGGGGAGGAGCCTTTCCGAGGTAATGGGACAGGGGAGGAGCCTTCCCGAGTCTCCATCCTCACGCCCGAGCTGCGCGGGCCGGTGACTCCTTTTCCCACGCGGTTCCCCGCCTGTCTCCTCTGGTGGATGCTGTTTTCTGTCCCCTTGACTTTGGTGCCTTTCCCTCGCGCCCCTGGGTCTGCAGCCTCCCTCCTGCGGCGCCTACTCCTCCGGGAGGAGTTTGGGTGCCCCTCGCCTCCAGAAGGCCTCCCGTGGTGCCCACAGAGGAGAGGGCCTCCCTTGGTGGCGTACCTGCTGCGCCTGCGCCCTCCGGAGACGAATTAAAACACATTTTTATCCGATGCTTCTATCAGTTACTGAGAGGAGTGTTTAAAAATCTGTGATTTTGAATTCACCTGTGACTCCTCATAGTTTTGTATAGTATGTCTTGAGGCTGTTATTAGTGTATGTAAATTTAAAATTATGATAGTTTCTGGGGCGCCTCGGTGGCTCAGTCGGTTAAGCGTCTGTTTTCAGCTCAGGGCTCAGGTCGTGATCCCAGGGTCCTGGGATTGAGCCCCGGGTAGGGCTCCCTGCTTAACGGAGAGTCCTCTCCTATTTCTCGCTCTGTCCCCACCCCAGCTCATGGTCTGTCTCTGGCTTGTTCGCAGGTGCTCTCTCAAATAAATAAAATCTTTTAAAAAAATAAAATTGTGATGGTCTCTGATGAATTGATCCTTTTATCTTTATGAAATGCCTCTCTGGCAATATGTATTGCTTAAAATATGCTTTCTTTATTGTTAATATGGCTCTATCAGAGTTCTCTGCTTAGAATTTGATAACTCCTTTATACATACATTGTGTATATATAAGTAATGTAAACACGTATTTCAGGCCTCAGGCACATAGAATTGGTTTAACTGTAACACTGTGGACCTTGTCATGCAGTCTGTTGTTTTTGTTTTGTTTTGTTTTGTTTTGCTGGTCCTTTCTTAGGGGGCTTTAATAATTGAGCACTATCAATTGCTTGATGCTTTGGAACTTTGCCTGCAGAAATTATCACTAGCTGAGTTAGAGGTGGAACCCTCCAGACGGGATCAGCATTTGCTTCTTCCAGGTTTATGGGAGCTACTAGTCTAGGGTTGCTCTCAACTAAATGTTCCCCAAGAGGTTTGCCCAGTTCCCCCAGCTGGTGTGAATTCAGGCTGAAAACACTCATGAAGGCTAGCTTCTATTTTTTTCTTTCTCCTACTTATTAGCACTAAAATTTCAGCTAGTAATTTTCTTGCCTATCTTCTGGAGCTGGGGTTGAGATGGGAGAAGTGGGGGATTGAGGAGCAAAACCAGTTTATGTCTACATTCATTCTTAAATTGATGGTTTTACCCACTGGGATTGCTTTTGCGGGGGGAGATCTCTTGTTAGACTCCCCAACTGGCTTCTAGAATTGTGAGGGGGTACATCATTTCTGTGATTTTAAGCCACCTGGTTTGTGAGAACTTGTCTCTGCAGCCCTAGGAAACTAATAACTAGCTTTATACCCTCTCTCTGCTCCAATAAGTTTTAAAAGCCTGCAGTCTAGTTTCGCATCAGTTACCATCAAGAAATGACAATGAGCTGAGAGAACTAGAAGGGGACTTCTGTGGGGGCCACTCCCAGCTTCAAGAGTTTCCTGGTGGTGAAATTAAATGCCTAAAGCTTTCAGCAAGTAGAAAGCTTTTCCTAAGTTTCGACATTGCTTTAACATGCATCGCATTCAGGTTTGGCCCTTGACGTCAGCTCCCTCTCCTTCCTCGTCTATAATAGTATTTTTAATGTTTGTCCCTTCCTCCTGCCCCCTCCTTCACGCCTCTCCCCTCTCCCTCCATAGTCATTGAAAAAAAACCTCTTTGAAACGTCCACAGTGACTCTGAACTTGGCAGAAAAGTCATTTTTATCCAGTGAAGACCAAAAAAAAAAAAAATAGTTGCTAGATTTTGTATAGCTTCATTTATCACGGCAGCTCTCTGAGGTAGGTATCGTCGGGACCATTTTCAAAAAAGACAGTTTTTCTGTTTTTCCCCAGTTAGAATCAAAGAAGAACCAGAAGGAGACTCGGAGCTGCTGGCCTGTTTTATTAATTTGTTAAACAGTTATGAGTGACTATGATGTACTAGATTCTAAGATGCTCAGGGGATTCAGATGTAATCGGTCTATTCCAGGCTTTACCTGCTGGTGAGCAACTATCTATTGCTATCAGCAATAGTGTAGTAATTTTGTAGCATTAAGAAATGTGATGTTAATTTTAAACCAAGGTAATTTTAAGTAGGCATTTTTTACACATTCCAAAAAAATGTAAATGGACAAAAGTGTTGTAGAGTCCTATTTCTGTTGGTACCTATAAATCTATTTTTTAAAAATATTTATTTATTTGAGAGAGCGAGAATGAGAGAGAGAGAGAGAGTACATGAGAGGGGGGAGGGTTAGAGGGAGAAGCAGGCTCCTCACCGAGCAGGGAGCCCGATGCGGGATTCGACCCCGGGACTCCAGGATCATGACCTGAGCCGAAAGCAGTCGCTTAACCAACTGAGCCACCCAGGCGCCCCCCTATAAATCTACTTTATTCATAACTGCTGTGTAGTATTTCATGGAAGAATGTGCCATAAAATTGCTTATTCCTCTGTTGGTATTTTGTTGCAATAGACATCTTTTTGTACCAGTGCTAAAGTATGTCTTTAAAAAGCATATAGAGAAGTAGAGTTGCTAAGTCAGAGAATATTTATACTTTGATTTAATAGATACTGTCAAATTTCCTGGTAGCCAAGCTACCAGTTTATACTCCTGTGATTATTATGAGCATACACCTTTCCCAGTGTGCTCACCAACACTGCATAATACTCATCTAAAATTCTGCCAATCTGAAGGGTGAAAATGACAATTTGTTTTGATGGGAGGAGGGCAGAAGAGAAGGTTAAGGAAGATTTTCATTTTCTTCTCTTTGTATCTGTTGGGAGGCAAATCTGGATGGGGTAGGCACCTCTGCCCTTCTGCCAGGCTGAGGTGGCCTGAGCTAGTCTGCAGAGGAGCAGTAAGGCTTCTGGCTCATGTTAGCATTCCGGGTATGCAGAGGCTCTCCTAGATTGTTCCAGGGCCCTCTGTATGCAGACTTTGACCTTCATTGTAGATGTGGGCCCTCCCTATGCATTTTCCCTACTCTCCTCTCTGGGCCTAGAGATCCCATCTTTCATTTCTCATGACGCAGAGAACCAAAGTATTCCATAGGCCAACATAAGTTTTTAACAGCCTAGATGTGTAACGTGGTGTGAGGTCACATCCTTTCTCTTGTGTATCCAGATTACTGTACGAGGCTGGCCATCCTCTGCTGGACTTTGGCCTTGATGTATGTAGACCATCTATGCCTGGCTCATGCTGTGGGGAAATGAGTTTGGGGGATTCCATGTGCTCCATTACTTTCCTCTAATAGACCCCATGTCACGCTGTGTAAGTACTGTTGGTATTAGGGCTGTGTGTCTGTGACTCCCCAAGCATGACAATATTTGTAATGCTCTCATTTTATACTAATGGGAAACTTAATTTAAGTGTCACTTGAGCAGTTTTTTTTTCAGTAATGAAAGCAATCATTTGTTATGTTCACAGAGTCTGTGGGTCAGGCATTCTCAGACAGGGCACACCGGGGACAGTTTGTTTCTGCCATGTGCTGTTGGAGCCTCAGCTGGAAGACAGGTGCAGCTGGGGATGGAAGTATTGCAAAGCTTGCTCCTTCACATGTCTGGGAACGATGGAGGCTTAGCCCTTAGCTGGATTGCCACACACCTCCGTGTGGTTCCTTCATGTGGCCCAGGTCCCTCATAATGTGGGGACTGGCTTCCAAGGATAGGCCCACAAGAGAAGGCCAGGTAGAAGCTGTGGTATTTTACACCAAGCTTCAGAAGCCATGTACTGTCACTTCCCTCACAGTCTGTTGCGTGGGGCAGTCACAGGATCCCACCCGGATGGGAGGGGAGGAACACAGATACCACACAGCCCAGTGGGAGGAAATCAGGCACACTATAAGAATAGCCTGTGGGAAGTTGTGGTCATCTTTGGAAAATAAAATCTGCCACCTCCCCCTCATTCCTATGAAAGCATTCTCTTAATTTCCAGACTGGAAGACATTGGGTCAAATATTTCCCACCAGACAAATGTAAGATTGAAATTGCTGGAATGATAGGGGATAACATATTTATCTCTGCAAACGAGTCTAATTCTAGCAACTCCTTGATTGTATATTGTTTGTTTATTGTAGCTTCCCCGAAATAAATATCCTAAGAACAATCATTTTCTTTATATTTATTATTGACCTTCAAAATTGCTGATCCTTGATCAACCCCACACACAGTTATTATATTCTTCTTAATGTTTTCTCATTACTTAGCAAGATCACCAAGAAAATGAGTGGCTAGAGATGCCTTTAGTGCACCATAGGTTCTAACCCCTGGATGTATAACCTGGACGCAAAACCTGCCCATCTCAACAGGAGATCTACATTCCTTATAGGTGGTACTCGTTAAGTATTAGTCAATACCATCTATTCTTTATTGAGTTTAGCTCTGGAAGGATACATTGCATTGGGCTTACTTTTTTTCCTCATAATTTTACATTTAGTTTCCGATCCTGGAAATTATATTCACTCTTACACTGACCATATTTACCCCGTGGAAATGAAAAAAAAAATCCTGCCTCTCTATGTTCACGTAATTAAGTTCTAATAATTAGGTTCTTGGTAGTTTGGGAACTAGGAATGGAACAGTCCTCATAAGGAAAGAAGATACTGGCCAGTGCCACAGTCTTTAAAGCATGAATGAGGAGGGGGTGAAAAAGTTCTCAGACCTAACACTTCTCTCATTCAAATGCTGGATGGTTCCGTGTTTTATGCATCAGATCAGGGAGTCAGTTCAAGAAAATCTGTTCTTGAATTCGAACAGATGGAGAAGAGGAACCAAAAGAACAAGCTTTTTTTTTTTTTTTTAAGATTTATTTACTTATTTCAGAGAGAGAGCGGG